CGAAACGACAAAGCGCGGGCTCGTAAAGCAAGAGTAACGGCCAGACAAACGTGATGATGATCGAGCGCAGGGAACGTACCGAAAATGTTATTGGGGCTTTAACAGTATAGGCCGCGCGGTGGAAGAATGCGGGCCACGTGCCGGCGATAAAATCCCTCGCCCTCGAGGCGGGTGCATAAGGGATGAGGCGGAGAATTAACCGTATAAGCTATTTACGGCCGACTTAAAATAGTGCGGCCCGGACTGTATTTCTAATCCAGCGCGCATGTCGTAAATACCAATGTCTATAATCATAAAGTGCCGGGACGGACAGTTAAGAGAGAAAAAGGGAGACAGAGAAAGAAAGATAGTCGAATGGCGACGCGATCGTAACGTATCGACGGGCGTAACTCGCGACGTCGAGCGTGCGTTCGTCGAACTTGAAAAGGAGAAAAAAAAGAAGAAAGAGAAAAACGCAACGGAAGACGTGAACGTCGTCGTAAGCCAAGGTGTCCTGGAGCGATCCTCTCCTCCCTTACCCACCCCCGTCGGGGGGCTAAAAAGCGCGTCGCGCAGCCCGCGAAAAGCATAGAGTTGCGTTGTCGGCGGAACATTTCCCTCCATCAAACGCGTGCTGAGCCCCCGAGCTCCCGTCCGAGATGCCGGATAATAGAATATCGTACGTCTGTCGGTGATATGCACAACGGGAAGGGAGGGGGAGGGAAAAGGGGGGGAGCCAATGCGCATAAATCCATTCCTGAGTTGATAGATACGCAACGCGCACGCACGGGACGCTCGCTCCGACTGAAAGCAAGGGATCGTTGACCCGTTCCATTGTCGAGACAGTTCCTATTATTGTCGCACGCGGTACACCGAGAGAGGTATATCGCGACACCTTCAACCGCGCACCCGTAGATTCGCGCGCGCGAACGAGAGAGAGAGAGAGAGAGAGTTCCAGTAAAAAATATTACGCGCGAGCTGTGACTCGCTGGCGAAGAGCGCGGCTTTGAGGTAAATGCGAAAATAATTGCGCGAAAGTGAGGTAAAATGCCCAATTGTGTCGACACTCTCCGAGCCCCATTGACATTCTAAAAGAACCAGGTTTTCCCAGAATTTCCCGATGGCCAATATCCACTTCTACCAAGATCGATAAAAGCTTAACCTGAGTATGAAATCTCTTCGGCAAACTCAGATTAAAGGATGACCGGGGCTATTTGGCAACCGAAGTAAGTTGACGAAATAGATTATTTCTACTGTCCTTTGTCAGATTTCAGAATCAAGCAAACAAAGGGATTTCAAGACCTCAAGGGCTTTGAAGCCATCTTTGATACGTTTAAGAATCTTGCTCGCTTAATTTTGTAACTCTCTCTTGTCAAAAAAATAGAAGAAACCGGTCAACTTACTCCAGTAACCAAATAGTTCCGGATCGTCGATCTCGTGGGAACGACTTCTGTGTGTCTTCAGTCTGAGGTTCTTGCCTGTTCGTTGATTACGATACTGCGATTACGCAGGCGACGTTATTTCACTTTCGTTCCTCTATCAATCACGCGTTATTGAATCGATATCGGGCAATTAATAATTACGGATGATTAATGTAAGTTATTGCAGCGCGCATCGCGGGCTATCCGGCAGGCTAATTGGCGCACTCGCGCTTATTAATGATAATATTACAATCAATCATTATCGCTAATTCTCGCGGAATGTGTACAATATGGAAATTGTAGTTTTTACGTCGATCCCCGCGGGATAATAATTCGAGGGGCCTTCGTGCGGCTCTCCTTGTCGTGACACGTGTACATTTTTGTGTATAATAAATATATTATACCAAATATGTTAAATCCGACATGGCGGTAATTTGTTCAACTTAAAATAGCATTCGGCGGACCGTTTCCTCGTCACGGCGTTCAAAATGGCGAGTGGTTCGTCTCGTCGAATTTCACGCGTGCGCGATTTTTTTCACGACAGCGAGAGACGACTGCTTGATTCCGGTTCGTATCTATTAAAAAATGAGGCGAAAGACGCGATTTATAGAGGCCGATATTTTTCATGCTCCGGTAACGAGCAGGAAGTAGCAGAGGCAATGGAACTTCCGGGTTAAGTGGATGAGAAAAGTTTCCCTAATATTATCGAGAGGCAAGAGAGAAGCGAGAAAGAGACAGAGAGAGAGAGAGAGAGAGAG